GAGCGCCTTACCTTAGCTTTATAATCTTAGCTATAGTAGTAGTAGCTATGTACTTAGCTACTATATACTCCGCGATAGCCTTACGCTTAGTAGTAGCGCACTCTTCTTTAGTAGTAGTAGCTTTAGTAACTGCAGCTTTAGCTGCGCAGGAGGTAATAAGGGCAGCGTAGGTAAAGCAAGCGCAAGTAGTAGGTTTTAACTTTAACTAAGATAGGTTAGTAGGGATATAGGTATAGTTTAGATCTTTAGGGTTAGATAATCTTATAACTTAAGCTATAGTAAAGATTATAGTTAGGTAGATAGAGTTATAGAGCTCTGTCTAGACAATATCTACGCGCGCAAGCGTAGGCTAAACAAGGAAGGCGCGCTAGTTAGTATCTAAAGGGTAAGCTAATTTAACCCTTTAGATATACAACGCTCTAATTAGCTACACTACCTACTAACCACAAGCGCAACCATAATAACAAAAGATCCACCTATACCTAGGGGGTGTGTTATAGGAGGGATATTAACTAGATTATAGAGCATCTTAATCCTAATTAATCCTAATTAATACCCCTATATAACCCACTATCTAATTAACTGCTAGCTTACTGCTAAGTGCCCAACAAAAAGCAGGAGCTCTAGTAAGGAAGGTTTACTAATTATTCACCTTCTAGTAAGGGTAGCTAAAGCTCTATATATATAAGTACGATCGTAGTAGATACAATCTAATAATCCATCTCCCAAATCATTCCTAACCTTAGTGATCCAAATTTCCACACGTTCTTATTACACCTATACTAGGGTGTAGAGCTAGTATAACCTACTATTATATTCTAATAGTAATAATAATAGAAGGTAATAAACTAGTCCTAATACCTAGTAAAAAGGTTCCTAAAAAATAATATAGTTTAGTTTATAATATATAATATAAAGATTAACTAACTAAGTAAAAAGTTTAACTAGCTATAGGTAAAGTATAAAGTAATAGAAGTCCCTACTCTACTTATAGTAGTATTAGACTTACTAGGGAACTTATATAAGACTATATATATAGATCTACTAGAGAGAGCTACTAATAATCTACTACTAAGCTAGAAGCTTTAAGACTTATAACTAGGCCTAATAAGTACTCTAGAAAATAAAGATATAATACTAGATAAATAGGAAGTAGAAGAGATCCTTTATATAAAGAATATAAGAGGAAAAGGAAAGTATTAAGTCCTAGTAAAATAGAAGGGGTGTATAAATCTAATATAGCACCTACTAGAGGTAGTATAGGATATAGAGGCTCTAGATAGGTTTAAGAAATAGTATAGGGATATTATATATAATAATAGCCTAATATATATAAAAGCTAGGAAGTAAGGGTAGAATAAAACTAGAATAATAACTTAGAACTTTATTATAATTAAGAAGCAAAAGGGTACTAGAGATAGCTATTATTTATCCTAATAATACTCTAAGTAAGTGCCCTACTACTAAAGTTTTCTAATATAGCTAATAATTAGGTAGTAGTATCTATACTATTACTATCTATAACTAACTCCCTACTAGCTCCCCCTAGACTATTATCTATATTATTCTGCCACCTCTATATTTCTTAGTAATAGTAGTAACACTTACACGCAGCGTAGGTAGGGGAAGACTTAGTTAATAAGTATAAATAGTAGTAGTAGTAGTAGTAGGATAAGGCTAGTGCTTTAATAGTCTACTAATATATAGCACCCTAGGCCTAAAGAAAATAAATATTAGAATAAATATAAGGGAATAAGAGAAAATTAATACTAATACTAAGAGTCTTAATACTATAAGTAGTGCGCTTAGTAGCGCTCTTAGCTTATTAATATAAAGTTTAGTTTAGGCCTAAGTTATATTTATATATTAGTTAATACACTAAAAGGTATTACTAGTAGTAGTAGCTAGTTATATAATATTATTATTACTATAACTACTATATAAAGGCGTAATAGTAGACTAAAGTATAAATACTAGAGCACTAGTAGTAGATAGAATAATAGCACTAAGCTAATACTAATTATAAGCGCGTAAGTAGGTAGTAAGGGCAAGTAGAGTAATAGTATTATTAGTTTAAGCCCTTAATATAAGATCCTTAAAATAATAGTAGAGCTAGTAGAATTATAGTATAAACTAGTAGTAAGTGCCTTTAGTAGGTTTTCCTATATAGGTCCTAAGGGTCCCTTTCTTTTTAATATACAGGCAACCCTTCCTATTAACTATAATAAAACTAAAGCTAGTTATAGAGGGCTTAGTAGATATTAGGATTATTAATAAGGATAGCCTCTAACCTAGTGCAGGTCTTATAACTATAATAATAAGACTTGTATAAACGCCCTAGATATAGTAAGAACTTGCTATAAAGAATATAAAAATTAAGAAGAACTTACTACTACCCTTCTAATAGTTATACTTACTAAAGAGATAAAGTTAGTTAATATACTAATTATAGGGAAGCAGCTTTATAAAACTACTATTATACTCCTTATTATCTAAGTTACTAGAAATAATAAATCTACTAAGTAACTAGGTTTAGGGAGATATATACTAAGTAAAAAGTTAGTATAGGAAATATTAGGAGAATATTAGGAGTACGCACTATATCTTAGTAGGCCTAGTATAGGGTCTAACTACCTTATAGTAGATCCCTACTACTAGTACTAGTAGTAGTAGATAAGGATATAATAGAGGCTATATAGGCTAGATTAATAGAGAAAGAGTAGAGAGAAGACTAATTTATAGGGAAAATCTACTATATAATATAGTAAGTTTAGGAAATATATAGTAGGGTAGGATAGCTATATTAGAACTTTTATAGTAGGGTGCTAAAATAAGTATATAGATATTACGCGCGCGTACTACTTAATATATAGGCCTATTATAAATTAGGAAGGAATATAAAGATATAATAATAAAACCTAAGAATATATAGTAATAAAGCCTAATATAGATTATAGAGGATAAAGATATAACCCTAAACCCCTAAAAAGATAATTTTATAATAGCTTATAGGGAAGGTTAGGGGTATATAAAGGGCTTAGGCTTATACCTAAGCCTAGGCCTAATCCAAGATAGATAGAGTCTAATACTACTACTAAGTAAACACGCTACACACCTATAAAAAGGCGTAGAGGGCTTACCTCTCCTTTAAGATACTAAATACTATTATTAACGCTTATTGCATTCTCCCTTAAGGCTAGTCTATATTACTAGGAGGGCGTTGTTAATTAAGTCTTCCTTATCTAATTTCTTTCTATTAGTAAATAGGCTTTTAAAGGTAGCTAAACTAGATACCCTTCCTTTACCTTTATCTAATATTTTAGTAGTTAATAAGAATAATAAATCTTTTCTTTTAGGGGGGGTTAGTTATAGAAGGATATTAGCTTTGCCTCTAATTCCTCTAGGCTTTTAGTAGTCTCTAGGTCTCTACCTTAACACAATCTAACGCGATTTTTCTAAAGGTAATCTAGCACTACCTATAGGTCTAGAAGTCTAAGCCTATAGGCTTTAGTTATTAGAAGTTCTAATAGCTATTCTAACTATAGAGTTATAGGGTTAGATAACTACTAGAACTAAATTAGTAGCTTAAAATAACAACAAGTGCAATATTCTTAAATACTATTACTAGCTAGGATAATATTCTTCTTATAATATAATAACTTAGGTAGGTAGGGCATCTAAAAGGTATCCTATATAACTTAAAGGCATATAGGAGTGCGCGTCTATACAGAAAAGGATACAATTCCTACACCTATAGGTCTTGTACAAAAGGACAAGAAGAACATGCCTATCTTAATATAGGCAAGCTGCTCTCTATATATATTAGCGAGTCAGGCCTTTGTTAGGCCTAACTTGGCATAGAACAATAGGCAAGCAATTCTACCTTATTGTTACAAAAAGATAATAATAAATATAATACTCTTAGATAATATTACTAGCTAGATTAATATTCTTCTTATAATATATTAATATATATTAGTAGGCTATCTAAAGGGGATCTAATATAACTTAAAGGTATATAGAAGTGTAGGTTTATATAAAAAATAATAAAATTCCTACACCTATAGGTCTTATATAAAAGTATAAGAAGAATATACCTATTCTAAGATAGGCGAGCTACTCTCTATATATATCTACGAGTTAGGCTATTATTAGGGTTAACCTAGCATGTAACTATAGGCGAAGATTCTACCCTATTGTTATATTATAACTACAATTATTATTACTATTACATACTTCGTATATATTTATGTCTTAAGCTTTCTTAGTAGGTTCTAGGGTTCCTTAAATAATAGACGAGTGCTATTATTATTATTAGGCGTTATCCTACTTATAATACTATAACTAGCGTCTTTAGCCTCCCCTTAATAGCGGCCTACGTAAGGCTGCTCTATCTTGTGCTTATCTCTCCTTGTATCTTCTTGTTACTAGTGTGTCTTTAACTATATGGTGTACTAAAAACAGTGCTGTCGCTTCTAAGTAGCTAAAATATACTCCTAATTAAAACTTATCTTATTAATACTAAAGAAATGTGACTATTAAGTAAAATTTTAACATCCGTTCTGCTTATACTATAATCTTTAGTTAACGTTCTTTCTCTATTTAAATTTCTATGTCTTATAGAAGTTTATTTACATAAGATAATGCTACTAGGTTCTCTTGTAGTATTTTACGTTAATCTTTATATATCTATCTAGCTAAAGTTAAAGTGGGTAGAAGGTTTAGAGAAACGGGCGTTCGATGGGGACGTGCGTTTGGTGGAGGAACACGTTACCACGACCAAGCGTGACTTAAGGACAAAACTATTTCATTTAAGAGTGTACAGAGCTGATTGCATTATGCTTACTAGGAATCAATCTACTACGACTATTCTCACAACATCAACTCTTTAATTCTCAAGATTCTAGATAGTACAACTCAGACACCTATGGCGTTAAGTGATAGATTGTGAATTCCATTAGGTGTAGAGGCAAGTTTCTTGCGGCAATATGCTGTACAGTTTACCATTTTTTTACCTTGTGCAAACGTAGTTTTAGTCCACCCTTTGGCTTCGATGTCAAAATACCAGCTGAGATCATCTCCTCTTCTTTATCAGCCATCTCAAATTCGAATCTACCTACAAGACAAGCGATGAATGCGCGCATTTCAGCCTGAGCATAAATGCTGCCAATGCATTTACGTGGGCCGTGAAGGAATGGTAAGAAGCCACAATGGGTACTCGTTGCAGCGCCTCCTCGACTGTTGTAAACCTCCTTCCTTCCGCTTTTTTGGTCACCCAACCAGCGACTCGGATCATACATTGCAGCTGTCAGACCCCAAAACTCTTCGGACCGATTTGAGACGAAAGGCGAGATGAAAATTCTGGTGCCAGCTTTTACTGGGTGGCCTAAAATGGTCGTGTCGAATTTGGCGATGCGGTTCGAGGTTGGAGCGGGCGGTTTGAGACGCAATCCCTCGTTGCAGACCGCGTTTAGAATTGGGAGACTCTCTAGGACGCTAGCAGCATCAAAACTTGTCGGGTCGTCTGTGAAGAATCGATGAGCTATGTTGGCCTTCAGTTCATTTCGCACTTTGGTTTGCCAGTCGGGATGTATGGCTAAGTACCACGCTATCCAAACGAAACCTGCAGCTGTCGGCTCAATGCTATTCATCATTAGCTGCGAAGGTAAACAAGGATCGGAATCTCTTACCCTGCCATCATCAAGCCTAAGAGATTGGCCACGAGTTCATCGTCAGTGAAATAATCACTGTTCGCCATCTCCATAGCTATGTCATCTGACTTGTTTGACCCAGATTCGTCTTTCCTTTCATTCAGAAAGGCTCGAACTGATTGTCTTAGTCTGTAACTCGAAAAGTTGACACGGTCATTGATGCCCCCAGGGATGAGCTTTAGGGTCCATAGCGGTAAGAACGCGGTCATCATGAAGTACGCTGTCACATCCCACGACCCACCAAGCACACTGTCGAGGAGTCTCAGGATCTCATGCTTATATGGCGATTTTTCGATTTTCTCCCCGAACAGGGCCCGCATGACCGCATCTAATGTGGCGTTGTGGGCATGCATATCAACATCCGTGACGAGGATTTCTTTCTCGCTGGGTATGACAGACCGACCGATATCATCAGACATTTTCACGGCTTTATCCCAGAACATAGAGTACAAGATTTTCACCTTGCTGAGGTTGAATGGTGGTTGCATGTGCTTTTTAGAGTTTCTATGGTTAGGCCCTTCGGACGCGAATAAAACCTCAGAACCTAGAAACCGATCGAAAAGAGCTTTTGCTCCGCGCGGCTTTATGAAGTTGTAGGAATTCTTCACAAGAACCTCTTGTATAGCCTCCGGACTTGTGAGCAAGAGGTTTTCTGTTTCAAGGAAGCCATGGAATCTAATCAAACCTTCGTTCGGTATGGCCTTCGCCATTTCGAGGAAGAGCTCTCCGCGAGAGTTAGCAAATTGTGCTGGTCCATATCCAATGAGCGGGTACTTTCTCTATATTGAATTGTCAGTGCTGCAATCCTGTTATACAGTTGAATATCCGTCAGTCCTACTTTAGCCGTTGGGAGATGCCTTAAACTGCTTATGAATTTTGGATAGATTACAGCTCGATAGCAAATCCACACAACCACAATTGCAGTAAGAGTATTGAGTACAACTTTTGTAGACTGAGCTCGGTTGCCAGTAGTGGTAATATTCTTCAGGAAGAATGTTATCTCAGCTGCCGTAGATAAAAAGCAAGCTTCAAATGTGCGTACACTGTCCATGGTTGCAATATTTTGGCTGGGTCTGAAAAGGTAAAAGTATTTCGTTAGACCTTGGGTAGAGTTTCAGGGTATGTAAATATTTTTTCAGGATTGAGGTGACATGCCGTAAATATCCGGCAGTAGGTACATATTGAGGACGAGGAGTTATTCTAGAGAGAAATGTCTTTTAACCGTTGTAACTGACTACGCGTACGTACCATGTCAAACCGTTGCATACGCAGCCTATATTTGCCGGGAGACAAGCCTTACAATAATGTGCAGGGTACATGATTTTTCCATAAATATGTAGCTGGCGTCATAAAGTTATTCCGAACGATGTTGAGAAAGAATTTTAGTTTATTTCGGATGTCTGCTAAGTACGAGTGGTCATTTGGCCAGCAACGCCGAATACATATATATATTGTTTCTCCGAAGCTTGGCAAGGTGGCCTCGCTAGACATCAATATGCACAGTCGCGTGACGCTTTGAGACATATACAATTCTCGTGATGACTCAACACTTAGATTTCAAAGAGGAGGCTATTACTGCCAATATGAATTATGGCACTGAGTTAGTACAACAGCCAAGTTGTTGTAGAGGGCAGGTAAGAGGTCGTTATCTATTGCCTACTATTTCTAGTTGTCGAAAGACAACTGGGCGCAAAAGTGAATACTTTAACAAGAACATATGCGCAAGTAGTTGATTCCCTCTCAAGCCGTCGGGCTATATATTCCACGCAGCTACGCGTTTGGACTTACTGTGGAATATAATAGCAATATTTGATATATAAACTGAGTATAAACATCATCCTGATCGGCCTTCTATAGAGACATCATATGTCACCTAGTAATTCAACATTTATGAGAGCAGGATCTGCTAACAATGCTCGAAACACATCTTGCGGCAAGCTGACAAATATGTTGGCCCCATGCTTGTACCACTTGCTTGAGTGCGCCTCACTAGTACGCATGCCTTCTGCCATAATGAAGAGATTATCAACAGGAAGAATGATGGGCCCGACGAATACGGGCGAATGACATCCAAAGGATAGCTTGTCTGATCCAAATCCCACACCGGAAGTGAACTCCATGCGTTCCCTTCTTTCAAAACCCCTTAACATACTCGCGGGACTGTCGCGTAATGATGCATCATAGACTATAGCCAATAGAGCATCTTCAGTATATCTCTCAAGAGTTTTTGTGATGATTGTGGCGAGCACCACAGGATCTGTATAGCATACTTCGCCATCTGGCCCACCATCCATCATAACAGCGACTAACGGACTCCCAATCAGGCCTTCTGGGAGTCCCAGCGTCCAGCGAAAGCTTGTTGGTAGGTGCAAGTCGACTGCCTGCCCAACGGAACACCGAGCTCGGGCTTTGTTTAAGGCCGCCCATAGAAAGCTTACAAAAGCGACTTGATCGGTAATCTGTGGACTGGCAGTAGCTTGTTGAATGCCTCGGGTAATCCGTTCGTATTCAGAAGCTGAGAAATGGAGCAAGTAAGGAACACCGGCGGATGGCTTCGGTGGAGGCTTGAACATGTTTCCTTGCATCGTGCGTTGACTGGATTTGTCTCGGAGGTCGGGGCGTCGGGTAGGCAGCTCTCGAGCCCGGTCAAGCATGACCATTTTGGAGCCATAAGTGTTGTCTGTTTCGTGGACTTTCTTCTCTACAAACTGAGGATTGAACATGACATTCGGCAGCGATATTTGTGATGGAAAAGTTGTGGTTGAGGTAAACATCCGAGTATGTATCGCCGACCAATGTCCTATGAAGAGTCCAACAGTGTGAGCGTCCGCTAAAGCATGATCCATGTCGAGAGCGATGCCAAATCCTCCGCATTTGAAAGAAGTTACTTGGACACGGATCCCCGAAGTTTCAGGAAGTGTAGCGGGAAACAATGGTCGTAGTGTTCTGTCGGAACGGTCCCACGCGAAGCTAGATATATTTTGAATCGAAGGTGGAAGCAGTGATCTAACTCGCGCATTGGTTTTCGCTTCTATAAATTCACCTCCGAGGGTATTGCCTCCCCAGGTCACCCTCGTGCGTCGAACAGATCGGCCACTTTTATCCTCAACTTGAATGTTACAATTGTCCAATGTGCCGGCGAGTTGAGGAAAATCGTCCAGAGTTTTTGAAAGGCTTTGGCGTAGATCAGTGTAAAGTTCTGGCCCCGAGTAAGCGTCGAAAAGGTAGATGGCTGCTAACGTCCTCCAGTAACAATACCAAGAGTCGATGACTGGAAGGATTGCTGTTTCCTCGCTGGCCTTCTTGTGTTCGGGATGCACCCGGTGGCTTGACATAACTTCCACTTTCATAGTGGAATTCGCAATTTGAGCTCAAACTCTGAGATAAGAAAGCACCCAAGGAAAGCGAATAACAAGTAGGTAAGCTGTAAGATAAGAAGTACCGCTGTAGGTAGGTAGACTAATACCATATAGTCGAAGACAAACAGGCTTGCTAGGTTGAGAACGAGGAGTGAATATGGACGGGAGACTGTAGATTCCCTCACTGCTAAAAAAAGAGTTGAAATATGAGTAAGGTGGCAGATGTTTTGGGATTGATCTGTCTCGGTGCGTTCTTCCCATTTCGCAACTCAAGACGGCAAACGGTAGCGGACAGTCGTTGGGGAATCTCGGCTTCGTGGGCCTGGTTTCTGGAGGAGAAATTTTAGCGCACGGTCTATTTTTCCTACCTAATGATGCGGAAAATCTTTACTGTTGATTGAACACATAACAATGACAGTGCTGCGGAAGATTGAAAGCGGGCTTAGGTACTGTGGGCCTGTTCGGTAGATCTTTGAAGCATAGCTCTAAAAACGTAAAGTTCTCTTATGTTTTTCCTGTGCTACGGTAAGCGGATTCCACTCTCTATTGCTTGGTCAGTCAATTTCAAAGATGTTTGGGGACACCTCTGAAGTGTTACCGGTAGGTAACTAGTGGGCCCTACGGGAAACGTAGCAACCCTCGTAATTCGCAATCCATTCTTAAAGAACGCTACCTTCTTCAATTATATTTTAATCTCTACAATCGAAACTGCTAGGTCGCAGAAGGGAAAGGATCAAGCTGGCCTACACAACGGTTGACAATGACAGTGGCATTTGCGGATGGTGACCGAACTTGGTCTTTCGATCTATTTAGCAAACTTGCGGGACTAGTAAGTGATCCTAGAACATGGTCGATGATCTCGACGGATATGATTTGGGGGAGGGATTTATTCACACAAGCGTAGGCTCTATTAAGCTTCGCTGCACTTTTTATTCAGAGACGATTGTTTCACCCGCTTCGTAAATATCCCGGTCCATGGCTTAACAGCTTGAGTGAAATTCCGGCGGCTATAGCGCTCGCCTCTGGCCGTCAGCAAGCCTACTATAGAAGACTTCACAGCAGATATGGTAAGGTTGCCGTAACCCTTTCGTCTCGCGCTGCAGCTAGAAATCAGAAACCGGCACATTTTCCTAGCTAATTCGAGCTACATCATCAGGTACAATCGTTCGAGTAGCTCCAAACGAGCTGAGCTTTGTCGATCCCAACGCATGGCAGGATATCTACAACCGGGTAAGTAAATCTGGGGATGTCTGTGTTTCTTTTACTCGAAATTCCATTGCATACTCCCCTTTGTGTCAAGCAGCTAATGGATCAACCAGAAACCCCCTCATATGGAGAAACACCCGGTATTTATCGGAGCTGTTGCAAAAGTCGGCGGTGCTGTGGGCATAAGCATGGCTCCGTTGGCGACTAAAGACCACAGCCGACATCGCCGGGCTTTAGGATACTCTTTCGCCACATCAGCCTTAGTGGAACAGCAGGAAATTATTTTAAAGCAAGTCCGAAATCTTATATCTCATCTCAAGGTGTTTGCGAGAAAAGAAAAGGCAATCGACATGACTGATTGGTGTAAGTGATGGACACAGGTTCCGCCCTTTAACGTACAGGACAAATATATTGACTGAGACATCATCATACAGACACGTACACGACGTTCGACTTGATGGGTGATCTTGTCTTTGGTCAGCCCTTCGGATGTCTTGATGGAGAGGGGCCAACTGAGTGGTCGCGTGCAATCATCCATGTCTTTGTTAGTGGCGCCTGGGAACAAGCCATACGCCGCGTCGCCGGCGTCAACACTTGGGCAGAGTCAGTTCTCAAAAAGATTCTCATTCCTAAGAAGGTTGCACTGTGGCGCCGACTGCACTTCGCCAAATCGAGAGAGACAACTTTGAAGCGCATAAAGGATGGACAGCGCAATCACAAGGACCTGATGTACTTTTTGCTGAAAAACAAAGAAGCCCGGCAGAATCTCTCCGACCTAGAGATCATGATCAATATGGTGTTACTCGTCAGCGCGGGCAGTGAGACGACTGCAAGCACGCTAACCGCATGGACATACTTCGTGTGTACCAATCGAAGTGTACACAGACGGCTTCTCAAGGAGATTCGTGGCAATTTCAAGACAGCCGAGCACATTGTGTGGGAAAATACCCAACCTGATCAGTTGCCTTACCTCGAAGCAACAATTCACGAGGCACTGCGGCTGGTTCCGCCTCCTGCTTCCAGTCAACAGCGAGTAGTTCCACCTGGTGGAGCCGTCATTTGTGGCGAACGCATCCCTGAAGGTTACGCCGTTGCTGTGCCACCAGTTGCTGTGACTCACCTCGACATAAACTTTGCAGATCCAACTGGATTTCACCCAGAGCGTTGGCTACCGCGCGACGATGACGACTGGGATGAGAAGTTTGCTAAAGATAAATTGGGAGCTTCGCAGCCTTTCTCTCTCGGCCCTCGGGCATGCCTGGGGAAGACTCTAGCCTATTTTGAGTTACGCCTGATCCTAGCGAGTGTCTTGTGGAATTTTGACATTGATTTGGCCCACGCGAAGGAGACAAAAGATCTGTGGACTATGGAAGACGACATGAAATACTTGAAGGGGTACTTAACTTGGGTTAAGCCTCCTTTACCTGTTAGATTGCAGGAAGTTAAGCGCGAAGCGTAGGTATATGAAACGTAACGAGCACACAATTAGAATAGTCTACGTGGTTTTGTATCATTTGTATTCTCGTGTAGTATAAAATACTAGCTAGGGTAGTAAATAGGTATAGATTATATTAGGGTTACATCTACTTACGTTAGATTCTAAATCCTACCTATGCCCTAGATATATCTTTAAGGTTATATTAAGCACTACTACACAATTAGGAAGAGTAACACATTTAAGGTTAGGAGGAAGAGGAAGGAGTCGAGGAATAGGATAATTATAAGGATTAGCTGTCAGGACGCCGGGCTCCGCCGGCCCAAGGGACCCAAGCATGGGCCAAGATAGCCTAAGCTAGATATATTACGTGATTATAGGCAGTATAAATGCCTATAAGAATTAATATATATATTATTAGTTTATTTGATATCTAAATTAGAAAGACTAATAAGATAAGGTGAATATAAGCTAGCGCCCCCTCTATTTAAAAGGACGTAATAGGCGTGGCAAAAATACAATACATATAAATACTTAATAAAATAATAAATATTATTCATGATCTTAGTTCTATCTATTACCTTTTAAGTATTAGATCTAATAGGTAGGTACTATAGGAGGGATATTGAATTAATCACAGAGCATCTTAATCTAATTAACTAACCTAATCCCTAATAGATATCCTTAATTTATGACCCTACCTAATCTATAATCTAATCTACTACTATCTTACTACTAAGTGCCTAATAGAAAAAGAAGCTCTAGTAAGGAAGGTTTACTAATTATACACCCTCTAGTAAGGTTGTTGCAGGAGGGATAACAACCAGATTATGGAGCATCTTGATCCAATCAATCCTGATTAATCCTAATTAATACCCCTGTACGACCCACTATCTAATTAACTGCTAGCTTACTGCCAAGTACCTAATTAAAGCAGGAGCTCTAGTAAGGAAGGTTTACTAATTATACACCTTCTATTAAGGGTAGCTAAAGCTCTATATATATAAGTCTAAACATAGTAGATACAATCTAATAATCTATCTCCCAAATTATTCCTAACCTTAGTGATCCAAATTTCCACAGTAATTAAATCCTAAAGGGGGATATCCTGCTTACTAGATTAACTAACTAGCCTACCTAGTATATTTAATTTAGATACCATGCCCTAACTAAAGGGATCTAGATAGAGGTAGACCCTAATACTCTAGATACTAAAAACTACTTTAAGAATAGACCTATTAAGCCTAGTATGCTAATAGGTATTATAGTATCTAATACAACAAGCAAGCAGTACAAGCTCTAAATAGCCTAGTACTAAGCTTGCTTATTAGATTAGGTATTAAAGTTATTAGTAATCTAGAATCTTTTTATATAGGTTAATAATATAGTAGATTAAGAGATCCTTACCCTAGCCTATATAGGGCTTATTAATTAAGGATAAGTAACCTTTTAAGCACTAATCTAAGTGTTCTATAATAACCTAGCGCTAACTAAATTAAGGGCTATAACACTAGTAAGATTATAGTATAAAGCTTATCTTACTAAAGTAAAGATAAGTACCTAAGATACTAATTATTAGTAGAAGGAGTAGACAATCCTATACACGCAAGCTAAGGTATATAATATTCCTAATATTAAAGGATAGCTTATAGTATAGGACTATCCTAAAGCTCTATTTACTAGGATCTTACTAGATTAGGGTTAAACTATGTTTTAAAGGATTATTAAAAAGTTACTAATAGGAGAGCTAACTTATAACCTTCTATAGGTCGCTAAGATCTACTTGTTACTACTCTAAGAAAATAATATAAGATTAAGCTCTAAAGGTCCTAGAGTGTTTGTAACAATAGGCGCTCTACCTTCTAATAATTAATCTAAGAAGGGGTTAGGATTATACCTATATAGTAGATCCTACTAATAGAAACCTACTAAATATAGACACGTTATTAAAGCTTAGACTAATATAGGTAATAAGCTTACTACTACTTAATAATTAGAGATTAAGAAAAAGATTACTAGGAATTAAAGGTTTAAAGAGATTAGAAAGGCTCTAAGCAAGTCCTATCCTAGTAATTAAGATAATAGTAGTAAGGCAAAAGATAAGAATGTGTTGCAGGAGGAATATCAACTGGATCACGGAGCATCTTGATCCCGATCAATCCCGATCAATCCTGGTCAATACCCCTGTATGACCCACTATCTGATCAACTGCCAGCTTACTGCCAAGTGCCTAACAAAAAGCAGGAGCTCTAGTAAGGAAGGTTTACTAATTATTCACCTTCTAGTAAGGGTAGCTAAAGCTCTATATATATAAGTCTAATCGTAGTAGATATAATCTAATAATCTATCTCCTAAATTATTCCTAACCTTAGTAATCTAAATTTCTATAGTTATAAGCCTAGTTCGCGCTTTACCTTATTAAAGATCGTCCTATCTATTTAAGCGTATTGTTTAACTTAGACACTAAGCTAGCAAGCTTTACTCTTTATACTATTTCTTAAGCAAAAGCTTACTTATTACTCTTCTACTATAAGTGACTAAATCCTAAAGGGGGATATCCTACTTACTAGATTAACCAACTGGCCTACCTGGTACATTCAATTTAGATACAATACCCTAACTAAAGGGATCTAGGCAGAGGTAGACCCTAAGGCTCTAGATACTAAAAACTACTTTAAAAATAAACCTATTAAGCCTAACATACTAACAGATATTACGCTATCTAATATAATAAGCAAGCAGTATAAGCTCTAAATAGCTTAGTACTAAGCCTACTTATTAGATTAGGCATTAAAGTTATTAGTAATCTAGAACCTCTTTACATAGGTTAATAATATAGTAGATTAAGGGATCCTTACCCTAGCCTATATAGAGCTTGTTAATTAAGGAAGAGTAACCCTCTAAGTACTAATCTAAGTGCTCTGCAACAACCTAGCGCTAACTAACTTAAGCGCTGTAATACTAGCAAGATCGTAGTACAAAGCTTATCTTGCTAAGGCAAAGACAAGTAGCTAAGATGCTAATCGCTGGTAGAAGGAGTAGATAATCCTGTATACGCAAGCTAAGGTATACAACGTTCCTAATATTAAAGGATAGCTTGTAGTACAAGATTATCTTAAAGCTCTATCTACTAGGATCTTACTAGATTAGGGTTAAACTATATTTTAAAGGATTATTAAAAAGTTAGTAATAGGAGAGCTAACTTATAACCTCCTATAGGTTGCTAAGATCTATTTATTACTACTCTAAGAAAATAATATAAGATTAAGCTCTAAGGGTCCTAGAGTGTTTGCAACAATAGGAGCTCTACCTTCTAACTAACTTAAGAAGGAGTCTTTATATCTATATAGTAGATCTTACCTATAGAAACCTCCTAAATGCAAAAACGTTATTAAAGCTTGGATTAATATAGGTAACAAGCTTACTACTACTTAATAATTAGAGATTAAGAAAAAGATTAATAGGAATCTAAAATTTAAAGAGTTAAGAAAAACTCTAATTAAGTCCTATCCTATTAATCAAGATTATGGTAGTAAGGCAAAAGAAAACGCGATCACCTATCTAGGCAGTATCTAGGCGGCACTAATTAACCCTATGTTAATAGCGGAGAAAACAAACAGGATCTATTTAACTATAGACTTTGAAGCTTACGCTCTATTAAAGAGCACTATCTTTAACAATAGGGGTGTAGTGCACCTAGTTAATAATATAAGCTACCTAGAAGAAAGCTTGTTTAGATTAGTTAAATATAAGATAGTTAAAGCAGGAACTTAAGCTTTTCTAATCTTAGGCAGAGGGACAAGAGTAATCCCTAATGCTCTTAATAGACCAAGAGGTCCAAAAACAGAAGATTTGGTGCTTACTAATATAGTATTAGTAGAAGGTTTTTATATAAATATTATATTAGAAGCTTAATTACTTAAAGCAGGAGTTTAGTTCCTTAGGCTAGATGCTACCTTGCAGTTTAGATTATTAGAAAAGAGCGTTGTATTAGCCAAGTTACTGCGCAAGTTTAACTTAACTTTCCTAGAATATAAGCCCTCTACTCCTTATCTAATAATCTAAAGCATAGTGCCTAGTAATAACCCTAGCAATCCTAGATAACTTACCTAAGACACAATAGTAAGGAGCTTTAGCACTAATAATTAGGCTATTTAGGACCTAAGGCGCTTAAAGCTCTAGTTAAGTTAGCAATAAACGTTAGGATTAAAGGAACTCCTAGGAGCAAATACAAGCACTACGCTATTACATATGCCTAATAGGTTATATTAAGACAACTAAGGGAAAGATTACTACGTCTATACTACTAGGTATTATAGGATCTATTTAACATGCTAACAGGTATAGCTTATAAGTAATAGATCTTGGTATTAAAGTGCGACTACTTAGGAAAGCTTTATACCTATCTACTGTAAGCTAAAAACCTTAATAAGATTATACAGGTGTTTAAAAATTTTAAGAGCTTAATACTTAACTAATATAAGCTTAGCATAGTTAAGATTATACAAGATAACAACGTTATAACGCTCCCTTAGCGTAGCAAATCTTACTTTTAGATCTAGGTAGCTAATAATAGTATTAAAATTAAGAGCTTACCTATATATACCTATAAACCTAATAAAGGAGCAGAAAGAGTAGGGCAGGAGATTATAACAAAATTAATTAAAATAAGGATTAGTGCTAACCTACTAACAAAGCTCTAGCCTAAAATTGTTAAAGTAGCAACTTAGCTCTATAATATAAGCCTGTCCTATGCTTATAATATAATATTACCTAACAAAGTGCTAGATTGTTAGTTTACTAGATACTTTAGGTAGTGGTAACTAGAGTAGATAAGGGAGGCAACTGCTAATCTCTACCCTAATTAGAGCGGAATATACGCCTATAGCTATTAAGCTTACCCCCTTAATAGAGATTAAGTAGCTAGGCGTCACAAGAGCGTTTTTAAGGTAAACCCTTAGGGTTATATTAGATATCTAGTAGGATATAGAGCATCTAATATATATAGGATATAGATCCCCTTA